CTTCAAAATAACTTCCCAAGAGTAATTGATTGGCCGTCCAACAGTCCCGACCTAAACCCCATCGAAAACTTATGGAGCATTGTCAAGAGGAACGTAGAGATACGACAACCAAAAAATATTTCGCAATTAGAGTAATTTATGAAGGAGGAATGGGCAGAGATTCCCCAACGTCTTATCAATAATTTAGTGAGGTCTATGAAAGAGCGTTGCTTATTAATTTTTTTTTAAAATCATCTCGTGCTCTCCAGCTTTCGAATGAATCATTAAACGCGTGATTTGGATCAGCCATTGTGGAATTTTTTTTGTCGTAAATCAATCATGAATTGTGTCTTTCCGAAGCGACAGTTCCTACGTGATAATTTTACCATTTCAATAAAAATTATTTAGCGTATTTAGAATTTTTGGCACGTTAGAACAATATCAATAATTTTAAGGAATTGATATTTTCTTGCACCAAAGCTCTCAAGAATATTAAAGAAACTCCCGTTTCCAATACTAACCCATCAAAATTCTGTGCATGATATTCATCAACAATTAACTTGACGAGTTGTGTAAGCCATACAATTCGATTCCCCAGGTTTTGATGAATCGAATGATTAGCGATTTTTACCACCAGACTCAAGATATAACGTAGATACCAAAACTAATACGCACATACATATGAAGTGAGAGCGACTAATAATAGATTTGTTTTGGACCTTTTTTTTGGTTGCAACTGTTGGTGGTTTTATAATTATGTTAATGGACAGTCATCAACATCGAGTTCATTAGGAGAATGGAAGTATATTGGAAGGTAAGTTTAGCTAGTTATTTATTTTGCGTATAAAATTTGATGTATTAAATTACAGATTCCTGAAGATAATAGAACCAGTGTCTAAGTAATCGAATAGTAATTCTTGGTAAAGCTTTTATTAGAATTTAAAATACATGTATATTGCAAATGTAACATATGTAGGAATTATTCGCATACATATACATGTACTAGTTAATCAAATATTACATATCACACGCAATTATGAAACATTCTTTAAGTAGCCGTTAGCTGCTAACCAATTCTCAACATCTTTGGCATCACGCTTCAACCATGCACTGTTCGTACGAATATTCTCCAAACTCTGTTGCAGTGGTCGTTTGAAGTTCTTGATATCCTTATCAGCAAAGAATTTCTCTATGTCGATTATTATTTCGTCTGATGCGAACATGTCTGTTACTAACTTAATAACGTATTCGAATAATTTAATTGATTTTGCATATTGATCTTGGAACTATTTAATGTAGCAGACGTAACGTAAATTTGATGTAATGATTAAAAAACTAATACGATTTTAAAACTTTTACCAAATCCCAATTTTTTTTGATAAAGTTCCACAATGGTTTTCTTGATTTACGATTCGTTTGCAAGCTTTAATTTTAGTTAGAAGACATAACGCCATTAATATTCCACATTAAATAAAACGAGATGCACGAAATAAAAATAATTTACCTTCTAAGAATATAGAGAATATCTTGATGACGAACTTCTGAAGAAATGGAAAAGTCCAACGCACGTTGAACCAATTCAGGCTGTTGCACAAAGCCAAGAGCAGACAATGCGGCAAGCTTTTGATCAACTGTTGGACCGTTTCTAAAAATGTTCAAAATTGCGTCGAATTCTTTTTCACCGCCACCATGCATTAATACAGTCTCATAGACGGCTTGTCGGATGTTAGGATGCAAAACTGATTGATCATTTTTCTCGGTAAAAAGTTTAAAACGACGCGTAGCTTCCTTAACAATTCTATATCATAAATGCTTTAATCAATTTCTCGTGCATAATAAAAAACCATGTTTTCTTACTCTGGCTCTCCAGCTATGCCGGCACTGTTAATAGCCAAAGTTCTTAACATTGCAGTTAGATAATCTTCATTCTCAGGATACTCCCAACCTAATCTGAGTGCCAATTTCGAGAATAATTTTCGTTTGTATGATAAAAGACCCTGATAAACAGCTTCGGGCTGTTCAAACCATACGATGATAAATTTCGTGATACGAGAATTAATTTCAACCCACACACTATGAAGATAATAAATTGTGTAAAGAGAGGTGTATAATAATAAAGCAATTCAGTTAAACGTACATACATACATATATTTATCCTCATTTTCGAATTCATTCAACAAGCTCAAGAGTCCACTCGACTTTCCATATCCACTCACTGTTAAGGCGCCTACATCGGCTACGATGCCTACACGATCACTCGTATCCGATAACTCACCATTTTTGATGGACTTTCCCAATTTCTTTAATCTTTCAGGCATGTAATTGACTCGAAATACCCCAACTTGGTGTGTGTTCAACTTGAGGAAATCTCCTTCGACTTGTGGAAATGCGAAATCAGCTTCCTTAGTTGTAAGTACCTGGGATTTAACATTCTCAGGCGTAAATTTTCCTATGCTAATTTCAAGAGGTATCCACCAAATATGAGTGTCATCTGCTTCGGTAACATCACCAGTTGAAAGAAATCGAGTTTGCTTGACATGTATATTATTCGGTTGAGGTTCAGTAACATGGAGTACTGGATACTAAAGAGAATTGAATTAAATAAAGAACACACACGTACTTTTAACAGGAGCACAAGATAAACGAAAGTATGTTTTGTACCCCAACTTTTCTCGTCCATCCAGCCATATATCTACCCACATCGTGCCCACTTTCTTTCGATAAATTCTCCCATAAATCATTTGTACTCGCATTTCCATACAAGTGAGCTTTCAAATATCTTCGTATACCAGCATAAAAAACATCCACATCAAGATAGGAAGCTAGCATTCGAATAACAGAGGAGCCCTTGTGATAACTTATAGCGTCGAAGATTTGAAGAATTTCACTGTAAATACGGAAAAACTATTAGTTAAGTTGTATAAATTTTAAAATTGAATCGAAAGGTTACCTGGGATTATTTACGGGGACTTCAATAGGATGAGATGAACGAAGGGAGTCAAGTTGGAGACCTAGTTGGTAACTCTCAACTACATATCTAATAGAATAAATTTATTAGATCCTTCATAAATAAAATATCTTTCAATATTTAAATTACTTACTGTGTCCAAATATCCCACTCTGGAAAGATTTCATCTATTGCCAAATAACCAACCCAAGTAGCAAATCCTTCGTTAAGCCAGAGATGATCCCACCTAAATAAATAAAGTAATTCATTGAGAATATACTGAAATAAGGTCATAATTCAAATATAAATATTACCAACCATTCCATTGTAACAAGATTTCCAAACCATTGATGGGCCAATTCGTGAGCCACAACATAGGCTATACGTTGTTTATATTGCGCGTTAGATGCTTTTGGGTCAAAACAAATTGCAACTGTACGAAACGTGATAAGACCCCAATTCTCCATAGCACCTGATCAAGTAGAAAATTCATCTTTTTATAAATTTGGAAAATGCTTTAAATTATCAAAAAATATATACCTGCTTCGAAATCAGGAATTGCAGCCATGTCCAATTTTGGCAAGGGATATGGGATTTTGAAGACTAATAGATTCAAAATAAATCAGATTGCATATTCATTTATGTTGAAAACACTAAATACAAGATGACGAATTATAAATACCTCGAGCAAAATAGTCAAGTGCCTTAGTCGCAACATCCAATGCGAATTCGCCTTGTTTCTCAGACCCTTTAGTTGCATAAAATCGGACAAGAACTGGTTTTTTATCATTGTATTCACCAGATGTATATTTCTCGATATAAGCCAAATCTCCAACGATAAACGCCATAAGCTTTTGAAAATTGATATAACGATGAGATTTAATAGAGAATCGATCCTCAAGTACTGTAATGTACATACATAAGTACTCATGATCGGTGTCCTTGCGAACTTCACTTCTTTTTTGTTATTTTCAATTGGCTTTTCAGAGGCCATATTCATATTACTCAATGCCACAAGCTCTGTCGGGACAATCAAAGCAACGTCAAAAGTAGCTTTGATTGCTGGTTCATCCCAACAAGGAAAAGCACGACGAGCATCGGTAGCTTCGAATTGGGTGGTAGCTAAATATCTATCACGGGCAATCAAATTGATGCAATAAATAATCTTTGTAATTAAAGATGAAGGTTTAAAATTATACATACTTTTTGCTGCCTGTAGCATCGGTATAAGAACTACGATAAAAGCCACACATCTTATCATTTAGATTTCCTTTGAAGTCGATTTTCAAAACAGCTGATGCGCCGGCTTGCATTTCATTTGGAAAAGTAAAAGTTACGGTCAGTTTTTCGTTGTTATATGATATATCTGATGCATCGATACTGCGAAATTTGGAAATTGATTAGAAATTATATGTGGATAGCTTGTTTTGTGTATAGATTTTTTGATACCTATTAAGTTTAGCAGCTTGAACTTCAATTTCATGAACATTTAACGTAATTTGCTTCGTATTTTCATTGATAGTAATGCTATATAGTTGTAAAAGATGTTA